CAATATTGTGATGCAATCGTATATTTAAATATTTAGCAATAAATTTTTTGAATAAAGATATTATTCAAAATTTTTATATATATATTATTATTTTGAGGATCTTCATCAATCATATGATCATGCAATTATTAAAAAACAAATTTATGCATATTACGCAAACATTTGATTACTAATATTTCTATTATGTTCCTTTCATTTAAATTATCTGTTTGCTCTAATATTCTTAACTTTGTTTCACCCAAATTGCATAAATAAATAACAACAGGTTATTTGTTATTATCATCCTTTATATTAGCATCTAAAGATTGTATTCTTGATGGTATAATTTGAGACATACGGTTACTACTTAAAGGTAACATTGATATTGGTGTTTGATCTAAGCAATAAGCATTATGAAAAACAGTCAGTCCACAATGAATCAAAAAGCGTTTTTACGCAATTTTAAATCGGCGAGCTGTTGGGTTGTTATTATGACCACAATTGCTACGAATAGCGCTAAAAAAAACAAATTATTGTGTCTAAAAACCCATTTTTCTTCCTGTTGTATACATACATTGTTCATCTGGTAATTCTCTAAGGCTTTGAATAGAAATTCATTAATTTGATAAGAAATGCCATTATTTGATCAATGCGGGAAAGTATTTTTTAATTGTTCCACTTTTGTGTATAGCACACTTAAAATTTTGCTAGTAAATTTAGTTGGTTCACTATTCTTTAAATTTAAAGAGTGGTTTGTTTGTCTCAAATACACACTGAAACTTAAAGTTTGAGCTGCAACTTTCACTTTAATTTTTTCCCGTACCCAGTCAATGTGTCAATTTTAAATTTTTGTAGCAATGTGCAGACCTTCTCCATTTTATATATCTACTAATATTTTCATGTATGACCACTCTATAGGATTTTTGATTAATATTATAAATTGCTAGTGTAATTCGTATGAGCTTTAGCATGCATAGAGGATCTGGTAAAATGTGTATCGGATGATTTGATATAGGATGAGAAAACGAAGTCTTCATATTTTCAATAGAAATATTGGATTCTGAAAAAAATTGTCGTACTAATATTTGAAGCAGTTCCGAATCTTAGCAATATAACTTCTGCACCACTATCATTAATAAATTGTAGACAACGTTTAACAATGTTAGCTTTTCACAACCACCTAAACCATCAATTAAAAAGTATGCAACAGAAAGTTTCCAATGTCCATTCACACAGTTAAAAGCTGAAGCTTCTTTGCTTCGATAAACTATTATCAATATCAGCATCAAAATCGATGTAACCAGAAATTTTATGGCCTGTCCGTTTAATTTCCTAAGCAAAATGATTTATTGATAATTTAAAGTCAAAGTTCTCAGCAAGATTAAAATTAATTTTAATCTAAAGAGAGATTGTTTTGTATCTTTTGATTACAGATATTGTTTGATAATCTTTAGTTTACTGAAACTTCTTTCATCATAAGCAGATGTAAATGGAAGAGTCAAGTTGATTTTGTAGATTATAGACAAGTTAGGAAAACAATTTGTCATCTATTTCTCTATTAAGATTGTATATATGTCTTTCGTTTAAAGTTCAGTCGTCATTGCTAGAGATATTGATGAAAACACATCTTTAAAAGTAGGGCCGGCGCGATTAGGTTTCAAGTGGGGAGGGGTACTATACAATTTTTTTGCCGAAAACATTTTTAACATCTAAAAACAAATCTAAGTTGTCCTACAATGTTGAATTCAGTTTATAGTTTTTTGGTTTTCTCCTTTTAAAAAAAAAAAGTTTAACGTTTGCAAGTTCACTGTGTTTTATGAACACAGTACAGTCAGAGTGGTTTTAAAAAGTATTTTAAAAATTTATATTTAATTTATTATTATATTATTTTTATTTATTTTGATTGTTTACATTATGATTATGAGAGCAGTTTTCTTAAAAAAAAAAACTCCGTATTTTTTCCGCCATAAATGCGGGCAAATTTGTGAAGCTGCTATTTAAACAATGATTTGTTGTTACCTAGTTTTCTGTTTCCGTTTAAAATAAACGTAGAGTTTTGTAATTACTTTGAAACTTATATTTTAGGGGGCACCAGTTGACTGGCTTAGGGAGAGCAGGAGGGCAGCCAGTCAACTCCCCTCCCCCTCTTACTCACACAAGAGCGCCCTATGCTGAATCCACCACTGTCACTACTGAAATGTTTATCCTAAAATTAGACTGTTTACTAGAAGTAAAACCATCCCTCTGCGTAACTTGCATCCATTTGCTCTTCTTTAAGTGCAATAGTATGCGGTAAAAGTTCAAAACATGCTATTTATGTACCTATATTCTAATTAAAAATTAAAATTAAACAAAATAGTAAACGTAAAAAATATTAAAACTTTAAGTGCTAAATGCATCTAGTTATTTTCGCCCTAACCCGTTCAGTAAATTGTTGAATGCCTAAACGTGACGTCACGCGAAAAAAGATGTCAGCTTAAAATATTTGTGATAATTAACTTACGGTAAGGTGTGTCTATCAGTTTATAGAGTCAAAAGTTTAGTTTAAATAAATTTTTTCATGCTGAACTTTTGATAAAACTTCTTAATTCACTAAACGTTTATAAAACTAGATTTAACTTTAAACTAGTTTGTGGTTCATTCAAAAATATAAACTTGGACTTTTCCTATGAAATTTTTCAAAAGAGTTGTTTAAATGCAATAAAAATAAATACTCAACAAATTTATCATTGTGTACCATAAAAAATCAAGTATATCACGTTTTTCTATTTCACATCGCGGCCCTTATCTCTACAATAAACTAAGATTCAAAAATACTCCTATTACAAAATTAAAAACCTGAATTCTTGAAAAGCCATATAAATATACGTTTATGTTTTTATTATGTATATATTTACCAAATACAAATTTTATCTCTATTTGGTAGATATATAGATTTTATTTTATCTAATAGCTTATTTTATATGAGCCTAATGCTAATTGAGACCATGTCAAACTGAATTTTTTTTTAAATTGAGAATATAAAAATACTAAAACTAAAAGCGGTTTCTTGTTGACAAGACCTTTTGGTCTTCTGCAAGGTTCACACGTTTTTATAACGCCTATACTTTTATCTTTATTATATGTGCTAAACTTTGCTATTTGTACTGGATAGTTCTCATTATATATATATGATATTTTAATTTATACATTGTAAACGAATATTAAAAATAATAAAAGCGAATATCATTGTAAACGAATATTTACGATCACAAGTTTGTAATGTTTTGATTAACAAAAAAAAAAAAAAAAAAGTTTAAGAATTAAGGTGATAAGAATTTGTAAACAAAATTATCTGATAATTTTTCTTTACTGACACGTGTGTTTTTTTTTGTTTTTTTTAATGCAGTTTGGCTCAAATTGAAAAAGATCTTCGTCACAATGTGGACACGGAACCATTAAATACTTTAGACTTGGATATACTAGTACGTTCTCGTTCATAGGAATGATCCTTTTTATGTTACATAATAATGTATCAGTACAAATGTTATTGTGGTTATGGAGTTCTATGCATATCATTTGTATACCATAGTTTAAGCCTTTTTTTCTTTTCTTGAGTCCACTGTCGTAGATGTTTTGCACAATTTTTGCATACGATGTATGACGACGCCAAATGTTTGTACTAGCCTCTGTCTTTAAGAATTTTTTTTTTTTTTTAAATTAATTTTCTCGCGCACTTCGAACTTATTAAGATTCCGCCGTTTTATTAATTTTACTTTTGTCAACAAAGAAACTTTATCTTAAAAGTAAAAATAAGTATTCTCTGTGTAACCAGACGTTAAATTACAAAAATAAACTTACTAAGAATAATAAAAATCTGTAGTGTAGTTAGACACAGTTTGTTGGCGTACTCTAAAAATCTTAGTTTAGTAAAATTTAATTTATTCAAAAAAGAATTTTTGGTACCATAACCATAATGTTCAAAATACTACAACAATTATAGTATACACGATAATTCTCATCATTATATAATACTCGTAATAAGTACTATTGAAATTATTATAAAAAACGTATTCGTCAACATTTTATTCTATTAATAAACTTAACTTGGATTTAGAAGGTTTTGATTACAACTTGACGATAAATTAAAATTATTTTTTTTTTAACATATATTCGCACACCTATTCTCCAACTTCTTTCTCCACTCACTCACTCTGTATAAAGTAAAGTAAGGAGAATTACCATATTTTTATGATTCAGCGTCACAAAAATACTTAGCAACAAATCTTACATTAAAATGTGTGTTGATGTATTCCCGTGGAAGACTGTAGTCAAAGAAACTATTTCTATTTACTTTTATGTTGTATCATTTACAAATAAACATTATTTATGATAAAAAATTTTCATTTATTTTGATACAAATTATTAAAACTTATTGTTTGCACAATATTTGAAAATAGCTTTTAAATTTTTATCCAAGTTTGATTTATCTCTGTTTAAAAGTATTTTTTGGGTGTCTAAAGCTACAAAAGTTTTTAATTAATACTAAAGTTTTTCCTGCTTTAAAAATGGTACTTCTACAAACAAATAAATTATCTACAATTTTTTTTAAGATTCATTTTAAGAATATACAAATAAGCAGAACAAACAATAATAAATAACAATGAGTATTCTTGAAAGCTACTTAAAATACGCATTATACTTTTAAATACGAATTTCAAATATTTGATTCATCTAGACAGTCAAAGAGTCAAATAAAAAAAAAACTGAAACAAACATTGTGAAATAAACTTTAAAATGACTAAAAAGTATTGGTATCAGTACATTGTTTAAAATTCGATAATTTTCTATAGATTTATAATGGTGTTGCTTTTATAAGATTAAAGTCAATGGGCGTGTTTATTCTTATACTTTCAGCTCAATTTGGTCATACTGTACTTATATGAACGGCATTCTTTTGTCTTGCTTATATTTTAATTACTCTTTTTTTTTGTTATTGTTTTTTAAATCATTTTTGTTTTTAGTACTTAAAAATAAAAATATAAGCTGTATACTAATAATAACATAAATAATATTTTTAACTCGTTCTTTTAACACCTAAGAACAATTTGAAGTCATGAAAATTAAAAAATTTTCGCTATTAATTTTCACATTTATGCATGCTTTTCAATTTATGGCTTGCGGAAAAACACCACTTCTAAAAATAGATGGTAGCGTTTTGATTGGTGGATTAGTTGCAGTTCATGATGCAGGGGGTAATAACAACTTACTATGCAGTAATAACATAAGTATGTTTGGCATAATGAGAGTAGAAGCAATGCGTTATGCAATTGACAAGGTAATTTAACGTTTAAAATAAATATTATTTTCTATTATCTTGTCATCTTAGTCTCTGTCATTCTAAATATTTACAGATTAATAAAGATCCTGATCTTCCTTTCTCCAATGGAATGAAATTAGGTATTGAAATTCGTGACTCTTGTGGAACTGAAACAATAGCACTAGATGAGTCTTTACAGTTTATAAATGCTGATGAGCTGTCATGCAAAAGTCAAATAGCCAAACCGTTTTATGGTGTTGTAGGAGATGGTTCAAGCGTTTCTACTGCTTCAGCAGCAAGTTTACTATCGCTCTTTAAAATACCATTGGTAAGGTGATTTTTATTATTGTCTAGATGTACAAAAGAATCCTTATTTTGTTGTTTTTTGTTTATCTATGCTATCTGTGTTTTACAAAAATAAAATACTGAATTAATAATTAGACTAATATTTATTTATAAAAATAAATGATTGAAAAAAAGTATTAATGAACATTTAGTTATGAATAATTAGCACATCAAAAGTCCAATTTCTATTGGATGACTTTCTAATATTATAGACTATTGAATTGTTTAAAATAAAAAAACATTTAAAGAACTAACTACCCAGGAGGCGCGGGTCTTGAAAAAGACGTCTTTTGAACGTTTAAAAGACGTCCAAAACTTTAAAAGACGTCCAAAACGTTTAATAGATATTTAAAAGACGTCATTTTTACGTACTGAGTTCGCTGGGTCTGAACAAACAAAAAGAAAATTAAAACAATTAAAATAACATTAGTTAGCAATCACATAAAATACCATCAATTAACAACCAATTATTTATTTATTAGTTACTTATATCTATCTAAAATTTGTAAGATATTTCAACCCACAATTTGAAAATTTTTTTCCTACTATAATCTTACAAATAAATTTTTCCAAGTTAAATTTGTAGTAATTCTTAGATTTAGTTAGTTAAATTTGTAGTAATTCTTAGATTTAGTATAATTTAATAAATTGGCATAATTTATTTAACAATCAAGCTAACCGTTAATTCTCTAAAAGAAAAAATTAGTTAAAACTGGTTAAACATAATTATTATTTTTTTTTAACAGAATATTGTAAAACTGTGTCAGAGGTTTGGTAACTTTATTACTTAAGGAGACGGTGATAAAATAAAAAAAAACCTCATTAACTATGATAAATATAAAATTCAATAAACAAAAATATCAAAAACTATTGTCCCCAATCAAAATGCTTCCTGGGAAATGACTCACTTCAAATAGTGACAACCTTATTAAAAGTTCAAAATTTTAAAAGTTAAAAATAATTAACAGTTCTTAAAAAAACTCCATTAATTTTTCAACAACTCTTAAATCCTATGCTTATAACATTTAACAACGTGCATAACTACAACAAATAATTAAATAAGAAAGACTAGAATTCTACGAGATCATCAAAACCTTTATAAAAAAGCAATTCTGCATTCGAGGTTTAAGAGTTCTAAGGTTTGGGTAAGGGGAGTGGGTTATTATTGAAATGAAAATTAATGGTGATAGTTTCAAATCCATGAGCCGTAATAACAAAATGTGTTATATATTCGTTGAACACAGATGATTGGTTTATCCACCAAAGTAAATTTAATTTTAAAGTAAGTTAACTTTAATTTAAGATTTATTTAAAAATTTAAGCATCTTCAGGCTTAGATAATTAAGCCTAAAAATGCAACGTCTACCAGCCTAATTACCATTTGTTTACGGGGAAAAATAAATAGTTGCGCGACATAAGAATCGCTTGCACTTATTTTACTCACAATTTTTACTGTAGCACCTTTTTTTTTTTTCTTTTAGTTATTTTTGAAAATTGTTTCTGTCTTTTTGGTTAAATTATTATTTCTTAATTATGGGGATTTTTGTTTTGGTTAACTTTTGGTTTGAATCTTTATGTTTCTTAAGTAATGATTAGAATACTATAAAATATTGAATTATTTTTGGGTTTTTTACGAACGAATATTTCACAGAAAATTGTGAATTACGACAAATATTTGCAGCTGATGACAGTTTTTTTAACAAAAAAATCGCAAGTAGCCATTTTTGATTTTTTATTAAAAGAATTACAAATCCCATATATATTTCAAAGTTTGTACGTCAAACGGCTCGCATTCATTGTCGTTGACCGAAATTAGGTTCTTTTCATAATCTGAATTTAAGTAGCAATGTTTAGTTTTACTAAAACTTTACTAAAAACTGTTTTTTAATTAAAACATTAAGAAAAGTTGTTTTTTTTTTTTACTAAAAACAAACTACAAACTCTTTTTGCTTGTTCATTTATATGTTTGCGTAATGCTTCTTGCGTAATGCTTCTTGTTTGTGCTTTAATCTAACTCAGCTTTTTCAGACTGCAGCCTTCATCTTATGCTAATTTTATTCTATAATTAGTTGTATCTCTGTTTTTTCCACATATTTCCCACCATTATTCATGTTTTAATCTTTTAATATGTATCTAAAGAAATAACAAATTTACATTTTTTACTTTACTTATCATATAACAACAAAATAAAACTTTTCCTTAAACAATAAAATTGTTAAATAAACTATAAATATAAGGCTAAACCCTTGTTTTTAACTTAATATTTAATTTCTTGAAATTCCGAGTATATACCCACGTATACCAAAAACATCTCACCTCATCTGTGTGTTTATCTCTAGTAATTGCAAGATTAACAAAAAATTTATTGCTCGGGTTTCAAACTATTTATACTTTTAATAAATCTAAAATAAATATTTTCGCAAATAAATAATAAGCAACCGTTATGCTCAGCCTCAGAACCAAGAGGTTCCTTGTTTGCCACAGACTCTAGCTCAACAAGCAACATTTTAAAGATTTAGAAGGAGGCGTGTTATAGGTCCTCTTGGAGCACCTTAATAACTAAAAAAAAATTCTTAGCTTTATTTAAAAAACATTTGTAATTAGCAGCAACATTCTAACAATGTACTCTAAAAATTATAAACCAGATTAAACTTTGACTAAAAAACAATAATAACGACACTTTTTATTCAATGATAAATGTAAAATATAGATCATATAAATATAATTATTTTACAATACCTCCCACAAAGACCTCCCACAAAGAGGGCCTTTCTACTTCAAGTGGGTTTTTTGTCCCATTGTATGCTACAAAAAATTTGTTTTTTAATTATAAAAACCAAATTCAATTAGATCCTAAATATAAATAGTCAAGACAATAGTTTCATAGTTTTACATAAAAAAGTCACTAGAAGTAATAACAGTCAATACTACGTTTATATAAAGAAAAAGGTTATTATATTTCTAATGATAATATAATAAATTTTTTTTCTAATAATGTATTTTAAAAACTCTTTCTTCATTCAAATCAATTATAGTCAATAATAATTATTTAATTTTTATCTGCAAACAATTTTATTATTATTTTTATTCGTAAACAATTATATTACTATCTTTATCTGCAAACAGTTTTCTTGCAATTTTTATCTATAAACAGTGTTATTATTATTTTTATCTGGTGTCTTAACAGTTTTCACGGTCATGCCGGACAAATGCCGGGAGGTCACCGCAAAAATTGAAGCCATTATAAAATCGATGACCTTTTCTTTTTTGGATGCCATTTTATTATTCAGAACCTTTTATGAAAGTTGCCATAAGTCAATGATATTTTGTAGTTATCATTGAATTGAAAAGAACAGCCTGACTTATTTGATTTGATTGGTTTTAAAAGTAAGCGCTTGGTTTATAAACTTTGTTGTGTTTAAGTTTTTAAATTATGAAGAAATATTAAATATGAACTATAACACGATGTAAACAGCAATTGTTTATTTTAGTTAATGTTTTATTTTCGTTTTCGAAATGTGAAATTAAATAGAAATTAAAAATTATTGTTCTATTTTAATTTTATTTATGCTATGCTTTATGTTAAAATACTTTGAAAGAACATTAACTTAAGAAATATGTAGCAATACAAAAAAGAAACGCTTGCTTTATTTAATAAAGCGTATTTGTTGAGGCTAGTGATTATTATAAGAGATATTCGGTCCTAAGGTCATTTTTAAAGCAGAAGCCCTAAGCAGACAAAAAACCATTTAAAAAGAAATTTTCCTGAAAAAAATAGAGCCCCTAAAACTGCGGTTCCTAGAAACATGGACACCCCCTCTTCCTCCCTCTTAAACCAGCATTGCTAGAGGCCAAATTTTTTAAAATCGCTGAGGAGGGGGACTAGTAGAAGCTAAATACGCCTCGTTCTTATTTGAGAGCTGCTTTGAGAGATCAATATAATTTTTGTATATAGAGATGTTAAAATATTTAATGTGATTAGCCTTATCCTTAAACCACATTGGTTAAGCCTTTTAAATCTTAATTTAAAAGGCTTAAACCATGTAGATTTTTCATTAAAAGAGGTATCGCGAATAGCGGAGTTCACAGTTGCTTGATATACAATGTTGCTTCGTAAACATTTACTGAACAATGGACAGAGATTTTTATTAATGCAGTCACAGTTTTCTTAATTAGGGTTTGTATTGTTTGCTTAAATTTTATTTATTGTGCGAATTTATAATAGATTTTACACTTGGCATACAACTGAGCTAACTTTGACTGTGTTCCTTTTAGAGATTTTATGCAGTTTGTTGTTTTTAGGAAAATGTTTACCAATTCGTTTAGAAAAACATTTTCCCACGTTGGTGCTGACGTTTTTGCTAAAGGGAGGGTTAAATCAAATCATGTTGCGTCCTCAATTCAATTTTTGAGTTGATGTTGCTTTAAAATTAAATGTTAGGCTACAATGCGCGACATAATGATAAGACACCCAAAAAATATTTGGGGTGTCATTAAAAAACTCTGCTATTCATTTATATTTAAAGCTAATTTTTGTAATAAATGAGAACAAAGGGATAACAAGACTAAACAATATTTAAAAAAACTTATTTCAAACCCCACTCGCATTTTAATAAAAAAAAAAACTCAATTTGAAAAAATTCATATAAATTGTCATTTATATAAAAAGACGTCACAATTTTAAACAATCAATAGTGGGTACTTTTACCATATTTTTGAATCACTTCAATCATTCTAGAAGGTAGAGAATCATACAACTTTTTTATCTATGAAATGTCAATTGCATCCCATGCAGATGCGATGGATGATTTCAAATCAGCTAGAGAACCATATTGTTTACCACCTTCAAACACTATATATAACAGCTGTGCCCAAGCATTCTCAATAATGTTCAGGTCTGGAGATCTAGCTGGCCACATAAATATTTCAATTTTACTGCTGTTGAAATATTCCTTGACTCATCTTAGATTTATCATGATACCC